CCCTCGGAGTAACTGAATGTTTCGACAACCAATTACATCAATGAAACCTGAGAATGAGATAAATATCCTGTTTTTCATAGGTTCTTGAATATATATTGCCAGTTTTAATCATTATCTTAGGCAAACACAAGTTGCCTCTTTTCTTCCCTAATTGCTAAATTGTATATCTTTCCCCCCTTGTTGCTAAGCCAGCTACCCTAAAAAATGAACAGCCATGGATATTTCTCTCTTCTTGAAGGTGGTTGGTTCCTTGGGAGGCTTTCTTCCCTCTCATGGTTAGACCTTGCCCTCTATACTCAGTGTGGAGATTCTGAGGAAATCAGTGTTCAAATGTGATCTTGAATGTCACCTTTTGTAATTTTTGTTTTGTGTCAAATGTATGTTTCAGGACTACTTCACAGACTTAATCACTAACGAGAGCATTAATTACTTCAAAATGTCTAAGAGAATGTATCCCCATAGGCCCGTTATGATGGTGATCAGCCACGCAGCACCCCACGGCCCTGAAGACTCCGCCCCACAGTTTTCAAAACTGTACCCCAATGCCTCCCAACACATGTGAGTAACAAAATCAACAATGCACCCTTGCCGAACATGGTCCTTGTCTGTGCTCCCCAACTTACCCTCCTCTTCACCCAATTTCCTCCCGTTCTGCATAGCCCCGAGGCAGACAAGCCAGCCCCATGGTGTCATGACATGAAAACTAAGGTATACAGCACAGGAGATAGGCTGAGCCTCCAGGCTTACCACAGAGAGTGCTGGGGGTTCAGATTGGGAATCGCATTTCCAGTATCTGCCAGTAGCTAAAAGAAGAGGCTCACGTCAGGGAAAACAGGGCAGTTTTCACCTAGAGTTCCTTTCCGTGTTGTAAATGATATTCTTGAGTATGACCTAATAGGACTAATGGGTGGGAATACTTCACTTTTCATAGCCGTGGTGTGGCCCCTCTCTGCTGTAGCTTTATTTTCTTTCTTGGGGAACACGGGAGCAGCTTGACTGCAGATGTGCAATTAGGCCTGTGCAGAAGGCAACTGGAGTAGCTTGCCTGGGAGGCCCTCTCAGGTCACGGCTTTAAAATAACCTAATGTTTCATCTTGAAGGGAGGGGGCGAGGAGGCTCAAGGGAGGCCTCCTTGGCTGAGAGGAGCCGAGGGAGAGAAGAGAGCTGCAGTGTGCTATAATCCTCCTGGCCAAGGCTGGAAAAGTCTAGGTGCCTTGGCAGCAAAGAATGTTTTGTTGTTGACTCTCAACACAGTTTCTCCCAAACTTCACGCCCAATAAGCAGCCTTCCACACAGAGCAGCTGGGACCAGGGCTGCTGAAAGCAATGCCCATTCAGAAGGAAGGCACCTTTATCAGACACCATGGAAATTGGTTCATGAGCTAGTTGTGCTTAAATACTGCTCCTGCCTGCCTCTTCTAAACAAGATCCCAGGCAGAAAGAGCCTTAGGGATGGAGAAGTAACTATTAATGGAATTGCCAGGCATTGGGTTCCTGGGAGGAAGGTTTCTTTCTATCCTTAGTATCTTTCTGTTACTATCCTTCCTCAGTCACATGACCAAGACCAACAGGAAAGAGGATAGAGCTCACTTGGAACAGAAACTAACAATAAATAAGAAGCAAAGTGGGTCACCTACTGTGCCAGGAGGATTCAAATATTTATTGCATGAAAGGTGGAGACACCCGAGACAGACACTCCAGCAACCGGAAAATCTGCTCTCGATGAGCCACTGTTTTGAACTCAACTATATGGCCAGGGTCCCTTCCTTGTTACTGACTCTGCATGTGGATTTAGTAGGTGGCTCCCAGTTGTATCTCAGTTACAAATTCAGTAAGCAACAGGTGCAGTGGGAGGAAACCATCTTTCCGGCTTCTTCAAAAATACCTTGGGCTCACCTTTTCCCTATCTTTTGATCAGAGGTCACGTTGTATAGCTCCCTTTGTTGCATTAGCACCATCCTAGCCGAAGATGATTTTCTACAGCTGTATACCTTAAGGGCATTCCTCAGTGTTTGCAGAGAAGGGGTTGATAAAATGTGGCATTTCGTGGTTCTTTAGAGGTCAGCCTGCCTTTGAAGCTTCAAGGCTAGGTCCTAAGCCTATATGAAAACCAGCCAGACAAGAGTCTCCACAGCTAGGTTGCATGTACAACAGTAACTGCACATGGAGAGGAGTGGGGGTGGGGCTGGGGGGGGAGGTAGCTCCAAAGAGTGTGCCTTGGATATAACACTAGAAACTATACGTATAAGGTTATCATACAGCACGGATTAAGGAAGTTAATCTTAATTAAGAACGGCCCAATGGGTACCCCTTAAGCACCAATAAACTAGGATGGGAGGCAGGGGTGTCCCAAACCAGCTTGTATGCATAAGGTTGTACTGAAATACAACCACACTCATTCATTATGTATATTTGAGATCCACCAACCAAGTGGAGCTGTGACACAGTCTATAAAACTTAAAAGATTTATAGTAAATTTGTCCAGATCCAAGTTTTACAGGGATGATGGGTACGTGTCCAGGTAGTCATAGCACTAGAGGGCCGGAAGTGTCAGTGCAGAGCCTAGTCGTCACAGCACCAAAGAGCACTGGGGAAATGGACTAACTGACATTCAGAGTGGACCTGGAACGATAGGGAAAATGTTTGCAGGAGAGTCTACAGCCACGGTAGATGACTTCAGGGTCAGAGTATATAGCACAGACAAGGCTCACTACACACATGAGATACTCTAAGACAGTGGTTCTCAACCTGTGGTTCTCGACCCCCTGGGTAAACCTCTGTCTCAAAAAAAAAAATTAAATTACGGTTCATAACATTAGCAAAATTACAGTTATGAAGTAGCAATGAAAATAATTTTATGATTGGAGGCCACCACAGCATGAGGAACTGTATTAAGGAGTCTCAGCACTAGGAAGGTTGAGAACCACTGGTCTAATACATGACCTAGGAGCTAGAGGATGGGGTACAAATAAAACAATATGAAGTAAAGCTTAAAGGGAAAATGGCTGCAAAATATTGGAAACCTCAGTGAGTTTGTACATAAGTAGGGTGATAAGAAAACTTGAGTGGACTTGATCACTGCCACATGGGAGCCTTTCTACTTCTGACAAGCCACCTGTGCCCTTAGCATTGATCTGACGAAGCAAAACCTGGCAGAACGAAGGTGTTCAGGCCTGTCTCGCCTGTCCTTAAGGCCAGGGGCAGTTTCTTTAACCTCAGAGCTCCATGAACTCATCTATCTGTAAGTGGAAATAAATGAGTCACTTTGATGTGATGTCATGAACAAGACTTAGAGAAGTAGCAAAGGCAGGGGCCCCACATAGAGACATAGAAGCCACTCTGTTGGTGTTCATTCTTACTGATCCTCTCTATTACGATTAGCCATATGCAAATCTCAACACAGTTGACCCACAAATAGTATAATTTCATGCTGTCTAACTCAAGGTTCAAAGAGAGCCGACAGAGAAATAAGTCCACACTTGCCCCTGGTGACAGGGTAAAGCTCTTGACAAGCTAAAACTTCACCGCAATGGACCTCTCACACCTGGCCATTCAAAAAAGAATAGGTCTGGGCTGTCATCTTTTCTGATGTAATTTTGCTCTGGGCAAATGCCAGGTGGGAGAATATTCCTAGCCATGGGAAATGAGAGATTCAACCTACTTGCAGCTCATCTTGGGGGTGGTGGGCAGTCATCATGTAGAGATACTTAGATGCCTCCAACAGGCCAGGGAAGCCTTGAGTTCCTGGCTGCCTTCTTGCAAAGGTTTCCCTGACTGCTGATAAAGGAAGGGAGGGGATGAGTGCCCAGGTTCAAAGTTCAGTCCTTCAACAAAAGGAGTGAAACAAATTGAAGACAAGCTGCAAATTGTGATGCATGGAGCTACTGAATGGCTGGCTTCCTTAGTGAAAACATTAGCGATGCAGTCAAGCAATGGGATGTTCACTGTGAAGTGCTCTGCAGAAATATTTGGCAGGCCCTGTGGAAACAGCATGGAGTTGTAGACTCTCTTCAGGGGCAGGAAGCTAGTCATGTGGACATTTTGCTTCAGGTCTTCGTAGGTGGCCAAACATCACCCGCTCCCTTTCATCCAGCCCTGGGCTGTGGCTATCTGACCCTCTTACACTGGGAAGAGTGGATCAAGTTTCCATGGTATTTGCTTCTCTGACAAAGAGTGAGGCCCATTCCT